CAGTCTCACGGCGACGTCTGGATTTACTTGGGGGTGGAAGGGGCGGTGCAGGGATTTTAAGGTCTGTAGAAACCCCCAGATCCCGGGTAAGAAAGCGCTGGGGGACTGCGAAGCGTACGTTTAACCGAGATAGAGGGACACTCACTCGCCACGGTGTGACCGTCTCTCCGCGCGATCCGCTTCCGGGTCTGCAGAAAACCGCGGGGGCGCGGAGCGGCCAGGCCTGCGTCGGGCCCGCGAGCCGGAGGACGGACAGGGGGCGGGGCGGGGGAGAGGCCAGGCTTGGGCGGGGACCACGAGGGAGTGGGCGTGGCCGGGGCGGGGCCTGCGGTTCCCCCGCCTTGCTCCTGGAGCGTCTGTGTCTTCAGGTATTTGGAGGCAAGACCTACCAGTGATGAGGGAGCATCCCTGAGGTCTGCGAACCGGGATCTCAGAGGTCGGTGGTGGGGTTACTTGGAGTGGCGTTTGGATACAGGAAAGTTCCTATCATTAAAAGTAATTTGAGCATTTTAATTAAACATGTGAAGAGAGTCCAAAGTACAATGTGAAATGCAAAACTGCCTGGGCAGAAGATGCAATTTCATGCTGAAGCCCAGCAGAACATACTTCCTATTTCTATTCCCTATACACTCCGGAGAGAGTGTCAATCAACCCTGTGATCCGGTCCAGAGACTTTCGTAGAGACAAGATTGGGAGATAGGCGTGAACGGCTAAGGCCTCTGTTAAGTTCAGTAACCAATTGCTTCTTTAAAAAACCACAATTTATGGGCCGGCCCGTGGTTCACTCGGGAGAGTGTGGTGCTGATAACACCAAGGCCACAGGTTCGGATCCCATATAGGGATGGCTGGTTGGCTCACTGGGTGAGCGTGGTGCTGACAACACCAAGTCAAGGGTTAAGATCCCCTCACAGGTCATCTTTAAAAAACAACAACAACAACAACCACCACAATTTATAGGGCTGGCAGATCACAGTTGGTTAGAGCCCAGTGTAGTAACACCAAAGTCAATGGTTGGCTCCACAAGCCGGCCAGCCCCCTAAACAAGAAAAATTTAAGAAAAAGGAATAACTTTAAAAAGTAAATATAAATTAAATCGTTCATTTTGTTTTGTTTTTTGTTTTTGAGACGAGTTAACCTTAAATACCTTTGAGAAAAACTTTGTTGACATAATGTTTGCATCAATAATTGCTAAATAGAATGTATTTTCAAATACACTTTACATTTTGAAAGTAATTAGAAAACTACTTTTTATTTAAAAACTGTAATCTATTTTATGTCTTTTCTTTGTTTTCTCTTTCTGAATGTCCTGTCAGGTGTGGATGACAAGGCCTGTAAAAAAGTCTTTGGAAGGGCTGGTCGGTTAGCTGTGAGCGTGCTGTTGATAACACCAACCAAGGTACGCAGTTCCATCCCTGTTAATGGCCAGCCATCTAAAAAATAATAATTATAAAAAATCTTTAGGAGACATTTGGACTTATTTTCACCTAAAGAATAACAAAGTTTGCAATATTTCTAAGGGTAGTTTGTAGGGAGGTTATTCTCTTTCATATGAACCCTGAAGAAAGTAAACCTAGGTTATCAAATTTTACTGTCATTTCTATTGCAACAATTTTATGGCTATTTCTGTGAATTATCTACTATAAAGTATGTTTTTCTCTCACGTCCCTACATGTGGAAGGTTTCATCCATGGAGAAGTGGTAATCAATTGAAATATGATAATGTTTAAATAGAAGAGTTAGCATATTT